TGATAGTGAGACTGTTATAAATCCGTTGCCAGGATACGACTAGTGAAGAGTGAGAACCCTAGTGCATGTGTAACGGTGAACGGTATATTGTGTGTGAATAGCGATAGTGCTATAATTGCCTGTAGTTCCGAGTTGTGTGAATAAAGTGTTAATAAATCCAATAATCCAATCCAAAACCCTGTCTTATAAGTAAACCCTACATATAACGCAATTTTATATTACCCATATCAAAATGTCCCTCATTACTTCTTCTGAAAAACACCTGAGATTATCACAGCCGATAAATATAAAAGTTACGGCCCTTATTGGACGAAAGGCCATGTAGTTGTGTACCTATTTACAAAATTACAAGACATCACATAGCAAAAGTCCGTAATCTCAATTTCTACGAGTATATGCACGCCTGCCACATGTGTTTTCTGATTTAACCACCCTGATAATGTTAGATTTTGGCTACAACTTATACTCGTATAAGTGTAATTACAAATTATGGTGTAATTTTCCCACAGCTTGGTATCAGAATGTCTACATTAGCTTTCAAACAAGAGAGTGTGTTTTATCTTAATTCGTTCTTGCACAAATGAAACACGCTGTCTAATATAGTGGGACACATGTAACAAACAAGTTCAGGGATCACAAAGGATTATCATTTTTTATTTTCCCATCCCTCTTGTGCCTTTAAAATACACTCGCCTTCCCGAATCGTCTTTCAGCTTCTGCTTTCTCTCATAATAAGTTCTCTTGAAGGAGGAGATGAGAATGGCTGTAGTGTGAAAACAGATGATCAGATCTGAACGTCGAGTTTTCATATTACCACTTTTTGTTTGCATAATACGCCATAAAGCCAATTATCTCAAAGATAAAATGTAAGGTAAGTTGTCCCTATGCTTAACTAATTAAGCACTACACCATGGAGTATGGGAGAGTGGATGCATAGACCCATATTTTCTTGACCTCGGCACTAGCTGAAGGTGAGTGGTCAGATTCACGCCCTGCAGCTTTAACCCCCGGGGAAACAGCCCCCGATAACCAATGGATAGGAGGCTTGGTGAGCACCAGAACCAGTATGGACTACGTGGAGAAAAGAACATTCTTGACCCTACCGGGACTCGAACTCCGACCCCTCAGTCGGCCAGCCCGTAGCCAGTCGCTATACCGACTGCGATATTCCGGCCATTTCAATTATACCAATATAATTGTAATCACATGTCTGCTTCCTAATATGCAGTTATACAAGGAATATGTGGTGAATATAATTTAGAAGTGGATCTTTCTTTTTTATGTGTAGCCCAAACATCTGAGGTAATGCAATTTTGACTACAGTAAAGTAAGTAAATGTATCCCTGTAACAGGCCGTGGAGGACCATAGGGTTGTAAGGCTGTCGGCATTACGCGCTGGCCGCCCTTTACCCCACAGGAAGATTCCTGGTACTCATTTCTGTTAGGGGCTGAGTCGGCCCCAGGGCCAGAGTGCTGCTGAAAGGATTGAAAAAATGCACCTCGTCGGGACTCGAACCCACGACCTTCCGGCTTGTGGCATAGTGCCTCAACCAACTACGTTACCGTATGCCCCTGGAAGGAAGCATTAGGTAAACAGAAAAAATTACCTCATCGTGACTCGAACCCGCAACCTTCCGGCGTTTAGCATAGTGCCTCAACCAACGATGAGGCTCTCACATTTTCTAGACAACTGGCTCACATATGTCGGTGAGGTTGTCAGCCTTACGAGCAGTCCATCATTTACCACCAGGAACATTCCTGGCTTTCATTTCTGTTTGAGGCTGAGTCGACCCCAGGGCCATAGTGTGGCTGGAAGGATTAGGTCAATTTAAAAATTCAACGACCTCATCGAGATTCGAACCCGCGACTTTCCGGCTTATAGAATAATGCCTTAACCTACTATGCTACCGCGTTCCTCCAAGATACTGTAGATAGAATAAAGAAGTAAGAAACAGATGAAACAGCAACCTCATATATTTAATGTAAAAACAAAATAAAGGAATATCGAGAAAAAATATTTGCAAGGTGTATTCGTAATGCCTCCAGACTCTATAACCAGGAAGCCGCCGAACTTCAAGGCACGGGGAAGACAAGAATGAGAACGTCCCATTAAAAACGCAGAGAGCAACAATTCGGATAGAGCTGGGATCGAAACAGACAAATACGCTTAGTCCTTGCTGTTGCTTCTGTTGGGGATAAGGCCAACTAAGAGCTCAGTCAAACCAGCCCCATTGTTGTGAGATATGCCGCTCTTATTCGCACGATGTGGGAGATGATTGTTATGAACAGCCAGACACTCGCCTGCTCGCAAAGCATGGCGGATGAGGCGAACAGTTGCACATCTGAATGCTCCTGTGAAGACAACAGACTCTCCTTTAAGATTCGGTTTCTTCTGTGGATCAACGCACTGCCTTGCTCTACTTCGTACCGCTTATCTTGAAGTCGTAACTAATTTAAATCGAAAAGACATTACAATAATAGTACATGATTTTCATTAATGTGATTATAGAATAGTTTAACGAACAGAAGAACACCAGACGCAGGACAGCAGTTCTCTACATAACGTAATTTTACTACATATTTATAAGGTCCCGAATTCGAATGTTGCATTCAGTCCTTCAATGCAAATCCTAGGATAATGCCTTACATGAGGGTAACCATTCACTCTCTCTCAGAGTTCCTTTAAGGCCCGGACTGGCCTATATCAGGCAAGATTTTCCACCCGCGGCTCGCTTTGCTTGCCACCTGCAACTCCCCCCCCCCGGCTTTCTCTTCGGCCTTGAAGATGGAAACGATATTTTTTTTTTTTAATTCACATAGTGGGAGGTGAGGTCCAGTTGGGTCCACTCAGCATGGCAGCCACTGATTGGCCTATTTTACCCGCCCCAGGTGATTATGACGACAGAGAATTTGGTGGAATGAAGATTGGCAGGGGAAACAGAAGTACTCGAAGAAAACCTGCCCCAGCGCCACTTTGTCCACCATAAATCCCACTTGACCAGACCCGGGCTCAAACCCGGCCCACCGTGGTGGGAATCCCGCGACTAACCGCTTGAGCTATGGCGCGGCCTAAATGATACGTTACTCCAACATATCTTGCTCTTTCCGAACTACAGGGTATTAAAAATCTATAAAAATCTCTTTCTGCATTTTCACGGCTGTGAGAACCTGAAATGCAACAGATATCCACAAGTGTTTCAGATCACGCCTGCATCTGCTGTTACTCTGAATTTACTTCATGGAATAGAGTCGTTTATAAAAGCTGACTGTTGGTCAGACGGCCATGAAATTATACACTTTCATGGCCGTCCGACGGCTCATTACCGTATTCGCATGAAGATATTACCGGATTCTGTGTCGTGAACCAGCTGAATTCAACTCACGCTTCAACACTCGACTCCCTCACTGTCCTTCTTAAAATTATACCTACACGTGGGTATAGTAGGTCTCATCCATAAAAGAATTCCGGCCAGTTCTACATGCGCTTGTCTTCTCTATTCTGCTCCTATAATTTATTTGCTCACTCTAGCAACATCCGATGAAGAGTACAGTTTATTCTGCCATTGCATCCATTTTCGGGTTTCTTTCTGTTTTAAATAAACATTCTCTTTGATGTCGTCTTCTAACACCATCAGCCTATTTTATTACCTTGGGGTGAGATTTAAATGTTTTATTAAGTAAAATGTACAAATAAACATTTGGTTCTTCAATGATTGACCGAGAAAAACATAAAAAATATACATTAATACCAACCGCGAAACTAGACTTTATTTACGTTTCTGTTTTAAAGGAGAAGCCGGGATAGCACAGTCGATACAGAGACTGGCTACAGGCTGGCAGACCGATGGGTCGGAGTTGGAGTCCACGTAGGGTCAAGAATTTGCCTCTTCTCCACGTTTTGCAGACCGGTTCTAGGGCCCACCCAGCCTCCTATCCAATCAGTACCGGGATCAATTTCTTCGGGGGTAAAGCGGCCGGGGCATGAAGCTGACAACTCACCTCCAACTAGTGCCGAGGTCGAGAAAATATGGAGCTATACATCCACTCCTCCATACGCCTTCATGGCGTAGTGCTTAATTAGTTAAGCACAGGGACAACTCTACCTTTTATTTTTACGTTTATGTTTTACAGGAAGTGGACAATGGATCAGCTATATCTGGCACATCGAAAATCAAACCCTTCGTAGGATATTTGACTGAGTAGTGCTACTTTAGGCATAATTCGACAGCCAAGAGTAGTGCCTGATACACATTGGGCACCGAAGTTCTGCAATGTATTGACGACAGAAGCGCGAGAATAGGAGAAACGGGCTAAACGTCCAATCGATACCTGACTCTTAACATTTCCACATCATCAGTCTCTTCACAAGTCATTACAGAAAATTGTTCTTCACAGAAAAAAATTTATGACGATTTTAGAGACCATTCATGCATGAACTTCGTACAAGCTGAATTCTCACAGAGAGAGTGTGCGAAGAAAATTCAGTTGATTATAACCTTTTTCGTTTGTAATAAGTGATACTTTCTTCCTCATAACAATAACGGGATCTTGCATAGGGTCGCCATTTCTCAGTACTTCATTTATCACCTGTGGTAAAAGGTTAATTTTCCCCTTGAAAGTATCTGTTTTATAAATCTCTCCAATTGGCGGGGAAAGGACTCTGTTCTTTACCCTTTCTCCTCGAGTCTGTGGAGGTGAATCTCTTAGTAGGGCACATGGCAAGAGAAACACTAAGAGCACAGTACACCAACATGCCTACAGTAAGAACTGCATCGACCCAGAAAAGTATCAGCTACTGGTAGAGTCCTTCAACCCTGAAGGACTAAAGTGTCCTAATGTACAAAATAAGGCATAAAGAATTTCTTGAAATTATCTAATTTGGTGTTAAAACAGTGTATATTGTCAATAAGTGAAATAAGACCCTTGTTAAATATTCTTATGGTTATGAGCATAACAACAGCAAAAATACCAATAACAACTTTCTTACACTCACCGCGCAGTTTACGGCGTGCATGGTCCTGAGAAAATGGAACATTGAGATCAATGGTTCACATCCCACTCAATGTCCGCTTTTCTGTCCGATGAGATCTTCTATGCTGTCTCAACCTGTAAGAAGAATGTGGAATCAGGATATCTCACAACTGGATGGGATGTTGAGAATATTTGGATCTAAACGGGATGGAACAGTAGGACAGATACAATAAGGTTTACCTCTTCACCAAAAATATTATTAGGGAGATCAAATCAAGGAAGTTGAGATGGGAGGGGCATGTGGCATATATGGAAAAGGCGAAGAAAAATTTCAGCCTGAAGATCTAAAAGGAAGAGACTAATTTGGGAACACTCGCATAGATGGAAATGTAAAACAGGATTTAAGGAATATCAACTGTGAAAATGTCTCAAAATTTCCAACCGTTCCCGAAATATTCTCTTTTTGAATTTTACAATTATTAACTTTATTATGTTTTTCGACATATGTGAAGGATATACATATATACTGAATGAGAGGTATCAAACCCACAATACTAGTGCTCACATATTAGATTGGGAAATCACTCATTACGATCTGAACATAAGAAAATATCATTCAATATTCTTCTTAGCATTAAAACAAAAAACGAACATATCACTATATATGTACTAGACTAAACTATAAAATACAATTAAAAGAATGTCAGCTGTAAAAAAGTGTGCATTCCTGCAAACAATGTGATTCAGTAAGCAGTTTAATGGATGGAAAGAAAATAATTACCTGATGCTGTATACCACCTGCTAGCACATGTAAACCTGGAAGATTAGATGGCAAGAATGCAATCCGTTGTCTGCCACACAGAAATGTATATCTAACTTACAAATCACTACCCATCATCCTTCATGCTATAACACATACTCTACACACCACTGTGCACAATTTACACTGTCACTGAACAGGACTGCCAGCATAACACCAATGTCAACATGTATTTCACTTGGCATACCACCTTGTTATAAGCAACCATTATTCATGCAAACAAGATATGTACATAAAACGGGAAACTTTTCAATCAAGTGCGGGTGAATGGAATTCTTATCATTCTTGAGAACACTACAACCCCTCACTACACATCACTGTGTAAATTGCACACAAAAATATAACATCACGCTAGAGAATTTAAACTTCACTTTACACTCGACACCATTGTGATCAAAACAACCCACATTATACCCACCTCTCTCTGTCACACAGAACTGAGATATAAATTAAAACAATAACTTCTTCAGTGGGAACTAGAAATTCACTTTTCACCCTCTTCTTACAAGTACATATACTAATGCAAAAAAAAACGATGTCTTTCTGAATAATAACCTACTCACACGTGTAGTATTCATATGCAAAATAACAAAACTACACCTTGTTTTCTAACATATCAAATATGCACTCACAGAATATAATTCACTCTTTCCATATAACTACAAATCACTGTTTTCTTATATGCACTTATTTTCGTTAAATCAGTAAATATACCGTAGGGTGTATTCTTCCTTCACACATACTTCTGTCTCATGGTTCAGAAGGAAAACACTTCGATTTCAATGTGGAACAGAGGAAACACATGTTTGTAAAATTTCGTGCACTCGCCATTACTCAGTCCAGGATAATACGTACATTAATTCCTACCATTTGCACTATCTCACTGAATCTTTTATGATATACGTTCAGGCATATAAATAATCAGAACTTCTACATATATGTATATAAACATACACACACACATATCACCATCTTATTATTTGTAAACATCACTTCATATCAGGAAAGAAACGTACCTTGATTTTCTACACCGGATATTTAGGTCACAGTGACAGGCCAGCCAACCCCTTAACATGACTGAAACAGAAACATTTCATTATCAGTTGGATTACAGGACGGTAAATTTCTCCCAATTCTTTTTTACCCATTTCCGTGTATAATATTATTCTACTTCCTATCCACGAAGGGAATTTCGGACGAAACAAATGCCGAGCACTAACTGAATTGGTCGCGTATCCATCCACGAGAAAGAAGGGAACGATTTCACTGATAATAAAGATTTTTCGTCATAACGTTATGCCATTGGAGGGCAGCATAATGCCATAATATGTGATATTCAATAATCATTTGTATCACCGTGGGGGATGCGCAAACTCGTGAGGTGGGAGCGGCGTTTCCGACACAATCTAAGCTATCACGTAGCAATATAAACTCCGAATATAAGAGCATTTATAGATTTTATGGGTGGAAAAAGAGTCAACACGCTCAATTTTACACATAACCTCACATTTCGATTTATTTTCCATGTCACGAACGTCCTACATTACGTTAGGTTAAATTGCAGTTTCGTAAATGACGTCACTCATAGGTGTGCGCAATGAACTACTTCGCATCCACCGGTATCTCGGGGTACCATACGCTGATGTTAGGTTAGGTTAGGTTAGGTTTGCGCAGTACATTACTGCGCATCCATCTATACCTTGGAGGGGGCGAAGCTCGGTAATTTACGCTTATGTCATGTTGTGAGCATACTTTATGACAGGTGTGCGCAAATGACTACTGCGCATTGTGATGCTCAGTTGAGCACTGTTTGGCCGTCGCCAGTATCCAACGACCGAATGATTCTGATAGCGTATGAAATCATTATATTTTTATACGGGACATTTTACTTCCGAATTTTCTCACATGATAAACCTTTCCATACTTTTTTCTGTTAAACTCTCTACGTAATCTATGAAACCTGGAATATACTACGATATTATTAATAGTCTTATATATATTTTGTTCCGAAATAAATCTCTGATAGCGTATGAAATCATCATATATTTATACGGGATATTTCATTTCCGAAATTTCTCACATGATAAACTCTTGCGTATATTTTTCTGTTAAACTCTCTACGTAATCTATGAAACCTGGAATATGTGTACACGTATGTTGCTGTCTTATATACCTGAAGTGATTCATACTTTCTTCATTCAACCATTTGTTCAAGTTTTGACTACAAGAGGCAATTTATTCCCGCTAAAATTTCCCTGTTACCTCCTATCAGTTTGTAGAAAATTAGTTCTCCTTCCTGTACTGCAGGAAAGACCCATTCTGAACCGTCAGCCCAACCTGAGATGTGGTAAACACTTTATTGTCATATGAGCAGCTACCAAAAATGGGCCCCGATGGTAGTATTTCAACTTTAGTTTCAGATTAAGTCAGTAGAGGACAAGACCAGGGTGCGGTAACAAAAGCTTCCCAATTTAAACGACCTATTTGTACCCACAATAAGGGCCAACCTTTCATTCCATTTACATATTGTGATGGATTGTATTGAAATTTACTTTAAGTGCTTTCAATGAAACCGTATTCATTGCTATCATTCACAAGTATGAACACGGAACGGAGTCTTATAAGTTGACGACAAAAGGGCTTTGTTCATAGCTGAGAACAACTTTCAGAATTTATAAGTATTCCTAGCGTAGTTGTACAACTCCCCCAATTCTAAATTATCTGCAGCTCTTTTATTTTCTTTATTGTGATGTTTAAACGAGGACTGCTAAAATGAAGTGGAGAAGACCTCTTCCATAAGGAGGTCAACTTTGGGGAATATTTCGAAAACAAGGGGAAGTGGCTGTTTGGAAACCGGCATGATATAGACCTTAAGTGCCGAAACTTGTCATGTATTCTGTCTTATAGAAACTCAAGCGTTAACCACAAAGTTTCACAGAAAGAGGATTTGAATAATTACTTTTATTCATAATCATAATTCAGACATTACTGATTGTCCGTCTTTTTACATTAACTTGGTGCAACGAGTCTTTGAAATTTGAGAGTATTGGAGTTTTTCCACATCTATCGAAAAATAAACGAACTTCACAAAATTGCGCTATTCGTTTATTATGCAGATGGGAAAGTCTAATGAATGGTACCAAAAACTCCGTGGCTTTAGTCCGCAAGCGAACTATACCGACGGAGCGACCACCGCTTGTCGGCGAAGTTAGTGCCGACCGCCTCTGTGGTCTAGTGGTCAGAGTTTCTGACTACAGATTCAGAGGTCCTGGGTTCGATTCACGGCGCTACCAGATTATCTGAGAAGTAGTGGGTCTGAAACGGGTTCTACTCAGACTCGTGAGGATAACTGAGTAGCTATGTAAATGGCCGTGGGGATTCGTTGGCACTAATGAATGGTACAGTATATTTAATGGGGGAAAGCGGTAGCGTAGTGGTTGAGGCACTATGCTATAAGTCGGAAGGTCGCGGGTTCAAGCCCCGATGAGGTCATTGGATACTTTTCAATTGACCTAATCCTTCCAGCCGCACTATGGTCCTTGGGTCGACTGAGCCTCTAACAGAAACGAGTACCAGGAATTAATTAAATAATTTTCCTGGGGAGTAAAGTGCGGCCGGCGCGTAAGGCTGACAACCTTACCGCCATCTTTGAACCGATTGTCTAGATAATGTGGGACCCCATGGGCCTTCACGGCCTGTTACAGGGATAGCTTTGCTTTTTTTACTATTACGGTATATTTAATATTTGAAAATAAGTGTTTATCATAACATTACGATACGTAGTCTGAGGGCCTTTAAAGATAAAGTGCCGAGGAAGGTGCGTGGAACTAAAAGACAGGAAGTTATTGAAGATGGAAACATTTGCCTATTTTTTTTCCTTGGCCTAGGCCTACCTCCATGAACTTCTCCGTTCACTTTGGTTTTTCTAGAGCTTATACATTCGGTAGAACTCCTTGGGCGGGTGATCAGCTCGTCGCAAGACCTCTGCCTGTACACAAACACAGAAAAACGCACACACACAAACTAAACATCCATGCCCTGAGTGGGATTCGAACCCACGATCTCGGTTTCCAAGCGAGCGAAGACAGTACATGCCTTAGACCGCTCGGATACCGTGACCGGCACATTTGCCTAATGAACTACCTGATTACCTAATTCCATGGAGCAGAGTCCTCGTTGTGAGCTCACAGTCGATCAACTAGTCAAGGAATTAATCTCCAATTACGGAACTAAAATTTCCATTAGCGTTTCCATAAAGAAGTAATTGGATCTAGTCCAAAATCACATGAATACAGTCCACATTCTTCCATTCTGTTTATTTAAGATAGATATTTCAACAAATCTAACGTGTTAATATTATATTTCGTTAATTTGTCAGCCATAATTTTATTCATAAGGTCATCACACTGAATAGGCAATTTCATTATTTCAGGAAAGTTTAAAGGAACTTTCATCAATTTTCATCTTGTTGTCGACTACAATTGTTAATCTGTTATTTTGTTAGGTCTCTCCTGTTCAGTGAACTTGCGAAGGAATGTTAGCGTCCAAATTTATTTCCATAAATCCAATTTATAATTATTAGCTGGTTTAAGGGTATTAATTTTATATACTTATGACCTCACTAATTAACATAGTTAAAGAAGAACACGAAGGCTCAACTCTGCTAATACTAAGAGTTCGCAACTGGAAATGATCGTGAGCCAGTTCTATCCACATCTCATTTTCAGATTCTTTTTGTCATCTTCCCCATTTCTACGGAATTCTGTATGCATGCCTTGTTTTCCCCATTACACATGCCCAGCCGTCGTAAACTTCTAGATTTTCAGCCTACTTTCCTTATTTTGAAGAAACGTGCCCCCAGTCTTCTTTGTTTTATTTTATTTTTGGAAAAAATAAAAGGCTGGGGACACGCTGTAGCGTAGTTGGTTGAGGCACTATGCTTCAAGCCGGAAGGTCGCGGGTTTGAGTCCAGATGAGGTGGATTATTTTTTCAATCTGCCTAATCCTTCCCGCTGCATTACGGCCATGGGTTCGGCTCAGCCTCTAACAGAAATGAGTACCCGGAATCTTCCTGGGGGGTAAAGGGCTGCCGGCGCGTAAGGCTGGCAAACTTACCGCCATCTGTGAGCCCACTGTCTAGAGAAAATGTGGCCCTCTCGACGTCTCACAACCCTGTTATAGGGATAGCTTCTTTTACCTTTATAAAAGAAGGTTTATGAGATCACTTTTCTGTCTGTCTGTGTTTCCATATATATATATCTGTCCATGTGTCTGGGTTTCCCCCTAATTTTTTTAGGGCTATGAGACTTATGAGATCACATACTCTCTCTTTGTATATCCCCTTAATTTTTTAGGAGGCTCATGAGATTGCATTGCTGTCTGTGTGCCCAGCCAGAAATTTCGTTCTCTATGGGTCTGTGTCGTAACAAAGGAAAGAAGACGATTGGTTCTTCCCAGAACTTGTTATCTTAGTAGGAGCGCTATTAGCTGATCTCTGCAAGTTATAAATTACACACACAAACACGCAACCAAATTTTCCGAATCCTCCATGAATTATGCTTTGTACAATATAGGTTTCTATCAGTACAAATAATAAACCCACTATCAGCTCCTTTGAACGTTCCACTAGGAGTCAAGAAAGCAAAACAAATATTTGAGGTTTTTAGAACATGGGTAGTGAGTGAATTCAGTTTAATCAACATACATGAAACACACAACATAACTCACACTCTGCACGAAACATGTTGGAGACAAAAGAATGACGTGGTGGCAAGAAACAGTGACCAAAGCACGTACAAGTAATGTGTCTACCATGTTCGCAGAACTGGCCCGTGCCGTGACAAATGACAGTGAGACATCTATAAATCATAAAAGTACTCAAGCGATATATCATTCGGGTTTAAAGAAAAGGGCGATATATCCGCTTGCTAACCTGTACTCTGCTACAGCACGCAGTCAGGTTGTAGAATTCAGTCTGTTTATTACGGTGACGACAGGAGTGCAAAGGTTCATAACATATCACGACAAGTCTACACTTACAGCAGCAAATTCCACTGTCAGTCGTCGAATTCTACATG